TAATGTCCTGGCCCCACTGGTGGACCTCCTGATGGCACTGGTATTTTTGGCCACTGGGTGATACAGAGTGTTGGACTGGATGGGCCTTTGGCCTGATCCAACATTGGCATCTCTTATGTTCTTATGTTCTTCTTCTTTTGGGGAGGGGAAGGGGAAGGAGTTTGTCAGCCGCTCTGAGATTCCTTTGGGTAGTGAAGGGCGGGGTATAAATCCAATCTCTTCTTCCCTTCTTCCCCTATCCAAAACCCCACCGACCCTGGGCTCCCTCTGAAAAAATCTCCAGGAATTTTCCAAAGCAGAGGTGGCAACCCGAGTCCCTTGCTGGGAAAGCTTCCTGATTTTCTGCTGTTTCTGGTCACTACCAGAACAAAGCTGGCAATCGGTGTGTGTCCGTTTTCCTTTTCTGCCCTGGTTTTGCAAAGGGCAAACTAGGAGCCCCGTGAATGTGAGATTAAGGTGTTCTGGGTACTTCAAACGTTTCCACCTTTTGTCTTAATTTTATGTACATTATTTACATCCTGCCTTTCCCCCAAACGGGACTCAAGGCGGATTACGTGGTTCTCCTCTCCTCCCTTTTGCCTCTCCTCCCTTTTGCGCTCACAACAACCCTCTGAGGTAGGTTAGGCGAAGCACGTGTGACTGGCCCGACGACACCCAGCAAGCTTTCATGGCAGATTGGGGATTCGAACCCGGCTCTCCCCATCCTAGTCTGACTAACCAGTGCACCATGCTGGCAGGGTTTATGTGGCTTTAAGGCTGTGGCAACAGGCTGAAATTGACCAAAGCAGCATTTCCCCCAGTGGTGCAAACTTAAAGGTAAAGGTTTCCCTTGCTCGAAAGCCAGTCGAGTCCGACTCTAGGGTTGCGGTGCTCATCTCCGTTTCCAAGCCGAAGAGCCAGCGCTGTCCAAAGACGTTTCCGTGGTCATGTGGCCGGCATGACTAAACGCCAAGGCGCACGGAACGCTGTTCCCTTCCCACCGAAGTGGTACCTATTTATCGACTTGCAATTTCTTGCTTTCGAACTGCTAGGTTGGCAGGAGCGGGAGCTAAAGACGGGAGCTCACTCCGTCTTGCGGCACACTTGGGTCTCGAACTGCTGAACTACCGGCCTTCCATAACCTGCAGTTCAGCGTCTTCACCACTTGAGCCACCGCACCTTACCCAGTTGTTTTTCCACCTGTGATGCCGCACGGGAACCAGGCATGAAAAGCACCGGCCTTGTTCTTCCGCCCGCCTGGTCTTTCAGATGTTGTGTCAGAAAAGCTTTTACTGATGGGTTTTTTTTTTTGTTCCCTTTAATGGATGCACTAATTACCGTTGCTTCCTAGAGGAGGCAGTGCCCTAAATGAAGACTCTGATAAATGCATTTTTAAAAAACAGGGAACGGCTCAGTTTCTCTCCGTTTCTCTCCATTTGGCCGGTCATCGTCTTGCAATTATCCACCCTGGATTAACTCTTATCTTATCCAGCTGTCTCGCTGCAATGAGATAGTGGAAGTCACCAAAAAACCCCCACACCTTTTAGGGCCACTCTACCTTTAAGAATCGCAAACGGGAGAGAGTCTTGCAGGGGGTTGCCATTCTCCAGGGGAGACCCGGAGGTCTCCCCGAAAGATGACGGATCTCCAGACAGCAGAGATCAGTTCCTTCCCCTGGAGGAAATGGCAACTGCAGAGAGGGCACCAGTGTTCCCTCTAAGCTGAGTCAGTGTGAGTGAGCTCACCGGTTTTTAGCCTCCGGCTCACACATTTATTGTCTTAGCTCAGGAAAGGGATGGCTCCAGAGCAAACCAATCTATGCGGCAGCCAAATCACCTGCTCACAACTTGAATGCCGGTAGCTCACAAAGTAATTTTTTTTTGCTCACAAGACTCCACAGCTTAGAGGAAGCATTGAGGCCCACTGAGATGCCCTTCCCAAACTCCACCCTCCTTGGGCTCTGACCCCAAATCTCCAGGAATTTCCCAAGCATGAGGTGGCAACCCTAATTCTTGCCAGACACAGGTTTTTTCCTCTGTGTTTGCAGCCCGGGGGGCTGGGGGGGGGGCTCTGCAACTTACCTCGCTGCTTCTTGCTCCGACTGAGGGCTGCTGGGAGCAGGGGGCGGGGCTTGTTGCATGTGCCCGCCCCCTGGGCTCTTTACTGCCGGAGCTTTGCTCCTGTGCGCTCCTGCAGGAAATGACCCCTGGTTGCTACAGTAGTGATCCAATCTTCATGCGCTTTTCCACCAGTGGAGAGACGAAGATGCCACGTCTTTGTACCCAACCCCTCCGGCAGGTGAAGAAATCATATTTAGGAGGATCTAGGCTAGCTCAGATCTCAGAAACTAAGCAGGGTCGACAGATATTTGGGTGGGAGTCCTCCAAGGAATACCAGGGGTGTGGCACGGAGGCAGGCCATGGGAAACCACCTCGGAACGTCTCTTGCCTTGAAAACTCCTGGGGGGGTGGAGAGGGTCACCACCATCAGTCAGTCGTTACTTGACGGCATTTTCGGCCGCCACCCAGTTTGAGCAGAAAAAGGACAGAGGGAGGAAAGGGCGACGCCCCCTCTCCCCTCCTCCCCTCCTCCAGCCCAGACAAGGCTATCCCAGGGCTGCTTTGGGTTCGGAACAGCCAACTGAGGAGGAAGGGGGCGAACCGAAAAACTTGGCCGAAGGTCTAGCTCGAGTCCGTGAGCCCTTCGGAATACTGAAAAGGCCGGCTGGAGCCGTTGCCCCCCAACCGGCTGGCGGGTCTCCCAAAAAAGGACACACACAAAAAAACCCCACTGCCAAAGTGCTCTGAAAATTTACTCAACTTTAAACAAATCTGTCCTCCGTGGCGACTGCGGAGTCATAAATGCTGGGTGGCTGCTGCTGGAAATTCTGACCGAGGATGCATGCCGGGCGTGGGACCCTCTGCCCGTACCACCCAGGGTTCAAGCTGAATGGAAACAGACTGGCGGCGAAGCACAATGAAGCACGTAGGGAGGGGCCGTGGCTCAGTGGCGGAGCATCTGCTCGGCACGCAGAAGGTCCCAGGTTCAATCCCCGGCATTTTCAGTTTAAAAAGAGCAGGTGGCAGAAAAGAGCAAGAGCCCAGTAAGAAGTGAGCCGTGACTCACGAAAGCTCCTCCCCTGCCACAGATTTTGTTAGTCTTTGGCCCCGGTCACACGGGAGGTTTTGCCCCGCAAGAGGGACGGATTGGGGGCGCATCAAACGGGCGCGATCACACAGCAACATCTGGGAAGCGGAGCGCACCCATCCCCGATCTGTCCTTTCCGGGGGGAAACACGCACCAAAAAAACAAACAAACCAAGAAAAGAGTACTACCTAACTGA